AAGTTTTATTCTATCACTGAATTTTATTTGTTGCTTTTTCGTTTTTTAATAATATGAACACACAAAAGAATTATCTGTCATGAAAAAAACCTCTTTAGTCAAGTAATGATATGCATCTTGCATGAAGTTCTGGATCGTTTCCAGTTAATGTTAAACATTCTTTAAGTAATCGTTTCAATGCTGGTGATGTTCGTAAACGTGTTAAAATAAATTGATGCATTTGTTGATTAGAAATATGATTCATTTGTTGTATAGTTTGTATAAGATGAACAGCAATACGACTTTGTACAATTGCATCAGGAAATATTTCATTATCAATTGAAATTAATGAATAAATAGTTGTCCATTCAAACCATTTCAATTGTTTCATTTTATTTATTGCCTATAAATCAAAACAAATATAAAACATAATGAAGCAAACTATTTTCAATACATACAAAAGCATTTTCAATTCGAATCCATAATGATTCAATAATATTATCACGATGAATTTTTAAACATTGTAAATGATTTATAATAATTTCACTATAATTAAATGTTCGATTGGCATCAATATCATTTAATTTTTCCGTAACATAACCATCGATTTTAAATGAAGGAAATAAAAGACGAAAAAAAAATAATGAAAAATCATTTAGTGTACATAAATTTTCACCATGACGATCATATTGTCGAAGTAAAATTCCTAATAAAAGATGTATACTTTCTGATTCTAACCAATGCCATTGAATATATTGTTGTAAACTTAATAAAAATGAATTATTTAATGATTGTTTACCATTAATACCATATAACCAAGTTATAAGTAAACGTTGTTCAATTCCAGAACTATTTTTTAATATTGCTAAAAAATTTTAAAAATAATGGAAGTAAAAAAAAAGTATGAACAACAACAACAACAACATTTTGCTTGTGTTTCTCTTACCAAAATAATCAATCCAAATATTATTAAGTAACATTGCAAATGGATCTAGTTCAAATGAAAATATTTGCGTCATTCGTTCAAGTATTTCTTTTCTTTCAGTTTTATTAAATTCTGTTTCTGATGAACGCAATACTTGAAATACAAACCAAACCATATCATCAACTGGTAATGAAGCAATTATTCTAAAATAAAAAAATAAAAAAATTTTTACTTGAAACCTCATATAGATGGGTCACTACAATCGAGTTTTCACTCGCTTCTTCTACAAACCATAGTTTAAGTATAAGTATTCTATTATCATATATATACGTATTTAGAATTATGTTTCGAATATTAGCCTTCTGAATTGTTGTGTTTTCTTATATCTTTCAGATTAATCACACGCCATTTTCGAGGCTGTGTACCTCATTGTCGAAATGAACATTGATGAATGTCTTTCGATCATTGATGATCGGAAGTTTCATTTCGGCAATCACTCCTTCTGTTCACTCTTTCTGAATATTTATCATATGCATCACTGTAGGTATGTTCTCAGAATATCGCTGACAGTCACATAGACGAAATGCAAATTACTGAATTTCGATGATGTGACGCTCGACAAAGAGCATAGTGAACAAATCAGTAATGCATAAGATCTAAAACACTGAGAATTTTACATAATTCTGTATATTTCTATGCATAATAATAGGATACTTGCACTCAAGTTATAACTTTAAGAAGAGGCGAGTCAAAAAGAAGTTTTGCAATTTTCCATGTATTAATTTAATTATAGTTACTGTGAATCAAGTTTAGCAATTTTTAATGTAATACTATCACATAGAATTCGAAAGGCAATTGAATTTGTATGAAGATCATTTATTGATCTTTGTATATATTTAGAAATACCATCAATACATTGTTGAATAATTTCTATAAATATAAAATAAAAAAAATGAAAATTGAATTGATTGATCGTTGTTTTTCTTACTATCATCTCGAAATGAACGAATACATTTTTCAATATATTCAAGTGTATCTTTTGTTTCATGAACATTTAAATTTTCATTATTATTAAGTAAATCAAACATATAGTTAAGTAATGGTTGCATTTGATCAGGTTTTAATTGAAATGTTAATTGATTTAAATTTTTAATCATTTGTTCTTGTACACGAGGAAATTGTGTTGATAATAAATCAATAATATGTATATTTAAACGTCTTACTGTTAGATTTTTTTGTTGAACTTGCTTTGATGATAAAATATCTGAACCTTGATGTTCATCAAATGGAAAATTTTGTAATAAATGTTTATGTATTGATGATGAATGTTGAGCAATTATTGAATGAAGTTCTGTATAATGTTGACTTGATAATATTGAATTCATTAAACGATGAAATATTCTTGTACAACACCATAAACATGATAAAGCATCACGATGATGATAACGATCACCAAGATGTATACGCATTTCAGACCAAAATTGAAGAAGAACTTTTAAAAGAAGATCAATAACACGAGAAAGTATTTGAGAATCAGAACGAAATTGAAATACTTGATCACTGAAAATAAAAAAAATTTAAATATACAATCGTTTAACTTCCGTACATATATATATAATATAAATGAAATAGAAAATTATCAATTGATTTTATAGTAAACTCTCAACAAGCTAAAAAATGAAGTTTTTTTTAATTTAAAAAAATTCTAAATTTTGATTTTCTTATTGAAACAATTACTGCTAAGGTGACATCACTCTTACGCAGAGTGGTTTATAAATAATTCAAAGATACAAATATGCAATACCTCGAGCCTGCTTTAATCTGTCGGGCTGGGTTTTTTTCTCAAAGATAGAAGACTCTTCAAAGTTTCTATTCATCAAGAAACGATTAGAAAAATACTCCTTTCAGCTAGCATTAGATATATGATATTTTTACGGTACATACTACTTGAGAAATTTAGGCTAATAAGGTTATCTCAACTTTCTATGCTTGAATCAAAAAGGAGTTATGATGTGCGATACTTCTTCTCACTATCAATGCTATAATGAAGAAGAGAAGGAGTTTACGACTTGATCAACCTATCATTATGTCAAATATCTGCAGTGTTTGAACGCTTAGATTGTCACTTGATGAAGTTTATAGTGTAAATAGCCATATTAAAAGATCACATAATGATAGACTAGTCGAGGCATAAGCTCCTTTCGTTCTTGAATTGTACGGGTCTAATCTCGTTGATCTATGTTTCTAAGTTAATATGTACGCTAAAACTTTGACATGTCTAGACTTAAGAATAGCTGAGATGATTTTGGTCATTAGTATATTTCCTTAATCAGGTCAATAGTGCTAGTTCATAACAGTATCTACTAGACAGTTCGTTTATGCATAAAAATTTCTCCATGTACTATATGACCAAGAAAAAAAACCTGGTCCGATTGTTTCAGGTAAACTAGAAATATTGAATATTTTTTATCGTCTAATTATTTATAGACTACCCTATATTTCCTGAAAATCGAGATGCATCGATTGGTACAAAACTGGCTACGTATTTTCGAATGATTCTAAACTAGAAACAAAATATGTTATGTTTTTTTATTTTAGCCCAGAATTATTTAAGACGAAACATATTCAACCGATAACAAAATCAGTTTCTTAACGATCACTTTTATATTCTGTATATCAATTTCTTCGATCTCTAGTTAAACAAAGATTGAAAGCAATGAAAAATATCTAATACTAATTTTTGTTTTTTGTTTTAATTTTATTTTTAATAAAAATATCAACTATGTTCTTATTGTTCGAATATTTATTTGTAAAAATATAACTTACATTAGTCTAAAAGGTTTTGATTTTGTATTATGTAATAAATCAAATAAAGTTTTTTCTTGTTCTTCATCTTGATTTAAATCTTTATTAGTTGGTTGTTCATTATTATATTTATCAAAAACAATATTAACTAATTGTGCAATACAATCAAGTAATCTTGCATTACCACTATTATTTCCAATTGTTGTTGTATCAATTGTTATAATAAATTGTCGTTCAGATCGACTTGTTTTCATTAATTGTTGTAATAAACTTTCAAGAATAGATAATGCATGATTTGTTAATAATATTGTTGAATATGTTTGATGAAGAAGTAATTCAAGTACTGGTACTGATCGTTCACGAATATCATCATTTAAATGAGTCATTAAAGAAATTAAACGTTGACATATAAGTGCCATTAATGGATCGAAACTTTCTGGAGATTCCACACGTGAAAATATTATTTTTAAACATTGTAATGCTGATCGATAATGACTAACACTTTCTAATGAAAGATATGATGTACAAGTATCAAGAAGTGATTGAAGAGATGGTAACCATGTATCAATATCATCATTTTGTAGACGTGTTTTTAATGTATCAAGTACAGCTAATTTTTGTGCCGATGTACCTTTACGTAATCGTAGAAGAATATCATGTATACGTTCAGGACCTGAATCTTGTCGAAGTTGTTCACGTATAAGTATTGATTTTGATTGAAATTCTAATTTTGTTTCATTAAGACCTTTTGGACGAAGTTTTCCAGCTTTAAATTTTACTTTTTGAAAATCTTTTTGTTGTTTTTTCTTTTTTGATAAACCTTTTTTAACTGGTACTTTATCACGAGCTTTTGTGCCAAGTCCTTCATAAGTTTGATGCTTTTTTCTACCCATAATTTTATTTTTTTTTTCTTTAAATAAAACCTAATTTCAAATGGATTGATAGAAGAACAATTGAATGTTCATTGATCCAATAGAAATAAATGAAATTTCGTGTCTCATATTATTGATGGATTTTTTGACTAATAGAATGATGCACGTGACCATGCATTGATATGCACGTGACTGATTACATTTTGCCAGAAGTGTACTCTTGGTTATGAACTTTATATAAAAAAATTAATCGACGAAGAATTGTTTGTCCTAATGAATGTTAAGTAACCGAACGTATAATTCAATTTTACATAGTAAAAAACCAATTCTGTAAGTTGGTTACTAACGAATAAGCTTATTTTCATATTAGTTTTAGTAATTTCTTCAGTTTTCATATAAAAAAATTAGCAAGACAATCGATGGAAGGTATTAAATTTGATAATTTAGCATTAAGAGTTTTACCAATTGACCCAATTCAAGACAACTATGTTCGATCTGTTTCTGGAGCATGTTATTCTAAAGTAAATTTTATATTTAATTAATAATCAAATTATTTATTTATAAATTAAGGTCAAACCAACTCCAGTTAAAAATCCAAAATTAGTTGCGTACTCGTCTGATGCACTTAAATTAATAGATATCGATGAAGAAGCAGCAAAAGTTTGTAGTTGAAAATTTTGAATTATTTAAATTTTACATTATTTTCGATTTTTCTAGAATGAAAGACAATTAGCTGAAATATTTAGTGGTAATGTTTTATTACCAGACATGGATCCTGCTGCTCATTGTAAGTTTTGATTGAATATTTATTTTAAGTATTAACTTATTGCGTCATAAGCAACGAGTAACTCATAAAGAATCGAGCACTCGTTGTCTAAACAGTGTAACCATTATTGAGATCTTTTACTTATACAACATTCAATAGAGAACTTTTTACTCTACAAAACTAAGCTGTTGGCTTCTTTAAATAAGTTCTTCTTGTTGATGAAAACTGAAAAAGATTGAAACCTTCTCAATCATCCAGTTCTGATAATAATAAAAAAATGATCGAAATTCTCAAAAAGAAATTCTGTAAATATGCTATAAAATTCAGCACATTTTTTTAATATATTTTTTAAAAATTAAAAAGAGATATTCGGCAGGAAAATGTTTGAAGAAAAACTTCCGAAAATACTACAAAAGACACTTTTGTAATAATACTTCTCAATAAGAGAACTCGAAACTTTGAAAGCATGGTGGAAACATAGAATATAATATTTTCTATCTATTGATGCTAAATGCTTTATTTTTAGCATCAGACTTGATAAACATCGAATGACGGAAATATATTGATTTTGGCAAAGAATAAGAGCTCACAGTCGGACTGTTGAATAGATATTAGCGTTTTTTCTATTTTTAGTCGATAGAAAAAGAATTATCTATTTACTCTATCAACTATGCCTGCAGTGTTTATGAAAAAGATATACGAATGTTGCACTGTTGAAGGATTAATCGCGTTTTACATTTTATTCAAGATGTTGAAAACTTCCTATGAAAACAAAAATTCATAAAGTACGATGCTCAAGTAGCTAATTACTTTTCACATCATAATCTTGTCCAATATATAAGTCTCAATATAGTTCATTAAACCTTTTCATACTAATTATCTATAATTAGTCAAAAGAATAGTAAATCAAATGATTGATTCTATTCACTTTATTTTAAAGATAAGAGCATCCTATTGTCTATTTATATCACATGAACATAACATATATCCAGAAATTATAGTTGTTCTTGTTCTATTATTTATGAACCAATAGAAACTTCAACAACCATTTATAAAAAGTATTGTCTAATCTTTTTTTACGTATGAGGATACTAATATCTCAGGATCTACAACTTGAAGTTCTCATACACGTTATATAACCTTATTGAAGGTATGTTCTGTCATTTTTTGTCCATTTTTGGTTCTTGAAAAGGATGCAACGAACTCATATGAAATCTTGAGCACAGATAGAGCCCATATTGGATCAGCTTACGAGTTTCATCCAACTTTGTTTGATGAGACTAAAATTTTGACTAAATACTTAGAAGTATTCTTCAGAGGTGAACTCAGTTGTTTTTTTCCCTTATGTTCTTATTCGGATTTATAGAACGTTGAATGCCAGCATCTCGGTTTTGGATCCAAACCTTTCCATATTTCTCTCACACACAAAGAAAATGAAAACTAATTTTTTAAAAGAGCTTAAAACTAGCTTTGAGATATAGTCTAATCTCTAAAAAAAAGATGTTCAACTTGATTGAACAAAATTAGACGGCGGTCGTAAGCGATCCTGAAAAGTTCTATGGAAAACCTTACCTACAATCTTTTTCTTCGAATACGTAACTCTTTTTCTTAGGTGCTCTATCTGTGGTAAAAGCTTCATGCGGATTCACTGTACACTCTTCGAGAACCAGACATGAGAAAAAAAGGAGGAAGCATTCTCATGGGTTACATGTTAACAGAATGGTAGCGTTACAAATGATTTATTATTTGATCATATTTCATAATAAATAAAAAAAGAAACAATAATTTTATTAAAATCACCTGTAAATGTTTGATACGTTCAATCAGTAACAGAATGAAGCTCAAGAAAAGAATTCAAATATTTCTATATTATAGGTTATTGTGGTCATCAATTTGGTTATTTTAGTGGTCAACTAGGTGATGGTAAGTAAAACAAAAAGCTTGCTTTTGCTATTCGAATACTTATTTATATATTTTCTCTAGGTGCCGCAATGTAAATTGATGTCATCGATTGAAACAGTATTAATTTTCATTTTTGCAGGTATTTAGGTGAAGTAATCAATAAAAAGAATGAGCGTTGGGAATTACAATTAAAAGGTGCAGGAAAAACACCTTATTCTCGAACAGCTGATGGTCGTAAAGTTCTTCGAAGTTCAATTCGAGAATTTTTATGTAGTGAAGTAAATTGTCTATTGTTTCAAACAAAAAAAGGAGAAATAGCTCCTCTTCGAATCTTTCTCCTTTTTTCTTTAATTTCAGGCCATGTTCTTTTTGGGCATACCAACAACACGTTCTGGAACATGTGTGACTTCTGATGATTATGTTATACGAGATATATATTATGATGGTAATCCTAAACAAGAACGATGTACAATTATTACACGTATAGCTGAAACATTTATTCGGTGAGAAAAAAATTCTCCTGATGAGTACTTTGTTTTTTTTCCTATTTATACAATACATTCTATGTAGATTTGGTTCATTTGAAATTTTTAAACCAATTGATCCATTAACTAGTCGAAAAGGACCATCAGTTGGACGTTATGATATATTAAAAACTTTACTTAATTATGTTATATCAACATTTTACCCTGAAGTAAAATTTTTCTTTGTCTTTTCATTGAAACCGAATTAAACTTTTTTTTTTCGTTTACATTCAGATCGAAGAAAAATATCGTTCAACAGAAGTAGACAAATATGCTGCATTTTTTGAGGAAATTGTCAAACGAACAGCATCACTTATTGCTCAATGGCAATGTGTTGGATGGTGTCACGGAGTATTAAATACTGATAATATGTCTATTGTTGGTGTTACTATTGATTATGGACCATATGGATTTATGGATCGTTATGATCCTAGTTTTATTTGTAACGGTTCAGGTAAAATATTAGAAGATGAAGAAAAAAAACTTGAATTTATATTTGAGTATTTTTTATTTTTAAGATGACAGTGGTCGTTATTCATATAAACAACAACCAAACATTTGTAAATGGAATTGTGGAAAATTAGCTGAAGCATTAGCACCACTTTTACCAATAGAAAAATCAAAATCAATTTTCAATAAATTTGATGAAGAATATGAACGTGTTTATATGAATAAAATGCGACAAAAGGTAAATAGAAAATTGTTTTATATTTTATATAGCAAAGAAATATATTCTTGTTTTTTTTTCTCTAGTTTGGTCTAATTCAAAAAGAATTAGAAACAGATAAGTAAGTTTACATAGAAAAATAATTTGTTTTTTTTTAAATTTTCTTTAATCATTTAGAGAATTATTTGATTTATTTTTAAATACAATGGAAATGACTGGTGCAGATTTTACGAATTCATTTCGGGCACTTTCATTAATTCATTTACCAAATACAAAAGATTTTGAACAATCAATTCATTTATTTATATCAACAATTTTAGATCAATGTTGTGATGCTGAAGAATGGAAATTTGTTAATAAATCCTCAATTGATGAAAGGTAATTATAAATAAATACAATAAAGAAAAGCATATTTACGAAAATGTTGATATTTTCTTTTAAATTAGAACGTATCAATTACTTACATCTCTTGCTGGAACAAATAATGCAATATTAAGTCAATTTGGATTTAGTGCCGAATTACTTGAAAATGACAAAAGAAAAAGAGAAAAATCTAAACAATTAGAAGTATGTATAAGAATATTTCTTTTTTTTAAATTTAAATTTTCCCTTTATAGAAAATGACAAATGAATCAAAACGAAAAGATGATGAAAAAGTATGGCGTTCATTTTTAGAAGTCTACATAGCAAGATTAAAAAAAGAAATCGATGACGATGATGATCAATTAAATATCAAACGAATAAAAATCATGAAAAAAAATAATCCACGGTATGAATAAAAAAAGAAAAAGAAAAGAATAGAAAATAAACAAAAGAAAACCGAGTTGAAAGCATTTCGGATAGTTCTTTAAAATATGTATTATAATTGCTCTTTTCTATAATAACATTAGAAATTAACTACTGGAAACATTTTTAATTATCATGAGATGTTGCTAGGAACTTTCAGGATTTATTTGCTTTGAGACTTTAATGTAAATTCCTATATATATAATATCTTCAAGCGAAAGACATTATGCCGAAGGCGATAACGAGAATAACATTGAAAGTGAGTGTTGACTCGTGAGAGTTATAGTTTTATTTTGGTACATTTAAAATATATTATAGGTATAAATAGATAAGTCCACTAGTTAAAATAAAATACGATAGTTTGTCGATGTTTCTAGAATTCAATAGTTCTAACAAATAGCATAAAATGTTTTTTCAACATGTTTTACAGTTAATGAACTAAGAATAGTTGTTGTGAAACTATACAGATCTGTTGTTAAGACTTATTAGAAGTGTGATTTGCACTATTTTATCAATGTTTAATAATAAAATTGAATGATTTTTACCAAACATTCAATTGTTTTAATGTACTCTCATAGATTAAATATGATAAGTATGTTGCATAATTCTTATCGGGCATTTCTCAGAAAAAGAAAATAAGACAAAAACAGATATTCAATTAACTCAAAGCAATTATTGGCTGCATTCGATCGATCTTATTTATCGTAAATTTAATCCAGACATTAGTTTTAAAGCATTTTGATGAATAAAATTTTATTATCCATTTATGATCTTTTTCAAATAATTTTTTTTTAGACTGGTTCTACGAAATTATCTGGCACAACGTGCTATTGAACAAGCTGACCAAGGTGATTATTCTGAAGTACGTAATCTACTTAATGAGCTTAAACATCCATATGAAGGTGATGATCAAGATACAATGGAATTGCCAAAACCAGATGAAACAACAATCGGAGCAGAAGTATTGCTTCCGACATCAGACACAATACAGAAACGTAAGTCATTTATTAATGATTTCAGCTTCAAAAAAAATCAAATAAGAACTTTAATTTATTCTATTTTTAGATGCAACAGGTGCTTGTCTAAAACCAACAATTTATGAATCGAAAGCACCATCAAATGCTTGCCGTATCCGTGTTACCTGATCATCATAAACGCCAATGATAAATCAATCATTGGCTACCTTATCTAACCATACACATAAATATTGATTGTTAATGATGATTGAAATGTCAAGAATCATATTTCGATTACCATTTCAATTTGAATGTATCAATAGAATATGTGTATTTCTATTCAAGCATACTCTATTTGTATAATTTCATATTTTTCAAATAAAATAACACAGCGATTTTAGTGATATAATCATTTGTTTTCATTTCGATTTGTTAAATATATTTTGTAAAGCAAAAGTAAATTTTTTTTTGTTTTCATAAAATAAAATTATTTTGTACAATACGAACAGGCAACCAATATGAATTTGAACGATCAAAGAGAGAAAAAAAACCATATGAAAAGGGAAAAATTGGAATGAATGGATCTTGGCCTCACAAATAGTCTCACCAGGAACAAAGAACATAGAAGAAAAAGAGCTTATGAATAGTGTAACAACAATATATAAATGTCACCGGTACATGAAACCAACATATAAAAATTGTTTTGTTTTTTTCTAAGAATCTGAATTTGAATTAAGATGCATTGTTTTCTGTTGATGTTGGCTTAACTTCTTCACTTGACTGCTTATTATCGTTCGATAAAATATCATCTTTACCTGTTTCAGCAAATGAAACAACTGGACCTTCATTATCGATTGTTTGAGTTGGTGTACATAATAATGCATCTAAATGTTCAACTGTTTTTGGTATCGTTCGAATTAATTCAGCAGAGAGAGAATATGTTCGTCTCGGTGCTATTTGTAAGGCTTCTGTTCCTATTGAATTACTTGGATCACGTTTATACTGACATGGTTGTTGTTGATTATATTCATTAGCTTTATTTGGACATAAATGTCGACATAGCCAACATTGTAAACCACAACAACAAAATCGTCGAAATATAACTTCACGAAATGCTCGACGTATAGCACGATTTGAAAAAGCATATACAAATGGATTCAACTTTAAATAAAGAAAATAATAAATATTTTTTAACAATGATCATTTTAGTTTTTTGATTTTCAACTTACGGCTGAATTACAATAACCAAGCCAAAATGTTATTTTAAACCATGTATTTTCAGTATTTTCTGCAGTTATTATACCATGATGTTTAAGTATTGACATGAGAGGTAATGTTACAAAAAATGGTAACCAACATATAAGTAATGCGCTTAATATAAGACCAAGTGTACGAAAAGCTTTTTTTTCACGTTTAAGATTATGTAATTTACGTTTTATTATTAACAATTCATCATTTCGAGATATTTGTCCACTATGATGATGATAATTTGAAAGATGACATGTATGTGTTTGAGAATTTCGTCTAAATGTTGCTGATATACGTTTACTCAGTGAACGACGTGCATTACTAATATAATGTGTAAGTGATGAACCGGAATATGATGTATCATCATCATGATTATTACTCTAAATAAAGTTACAATAGTTTTATTATTCTCGTCAAGTGAATTCCGGAAAATGTTTTTTTTGATTCTACTTTGAAGTCATCTTTTTTTTCTTCATCGGAAATGATTTAATTTCGAGTCACTGATATAGAAAATTAAAAAATTTCCCTTATAATTTTGTCGTTAATGGTACTATGATCATATATATTTTTAGAAAAAAAGTCATTGTAGCTCTGTAGCATTTCCGCTTTAAAAAATATATATTATTTTGCGCAGTCGTCTAGATTCATTTTTTCTTCATCTTGAGTACTTCTAGTTTAAGCACTTGTTTACTACTAATGATTATTTATAGATTGTTTTAAAAGATTTTAATGCATTATAATCTTAAAGAATGTAATTATTATATCAAGAGAATCATGCGTTTGTTTTTCTGTGTTCATTAAAAAATTTTACTATTTATGAAAACAATATTTATGTAATCATACCGTTGGATCTGAATATTCACGTTTAAATTGAGTTTCATCAGTTAAATTTAAAGTATGATCAAAATCAGATTGTTTACCAGGAACGATTCCATTATTTAAAAGTGCTGTTGTTACTTCAGTTCTATTAATATCAGGTATACTAGAATAAGTTCGTTTATTATTTGGTAAATATTGATCATTCTTTTGTTTGTCAGATGAATTTCCATTTGTATGAGTTTGTTTTTGTCGTACATTTTCCGATGCTATTTGATAATCAATTTGATAAAGACGTCGTTTGTCATTTTCTAATTTTTCTCCTTGTTTTTTTGCTTCCTGATAAACACGTGAATAAAGTATTAGGAGAATAATAACAGGTATATAAAATGATATCATTGATGAAAATATTGTATAAAATGTATTTTTATTAACTTTACATGTTTCATAATGTTCTTGGGTAATATTTAAATCATTCGATCGTTTTTCACGATCTGTTAAACCAAATAACGGTACAACAGATGTTAATATCGATACAGCCCAAACAATGATAACTAAATAAATAGTTCGTCGTGTAGTCATTATACTACCATAATTTAATGGTCGTGTTACACCTATATAACGGTCAATAGAAACAGCCATTAAAGCTATAATTGATGCTGTACAACATAGTACATCAAGAGCTAGCCATGCTGAACAAAAACTTTGTCCAAATATCCATCGATCTTGAAGTAACTCAAGAACAGATGAAAATGGTAATACAAATAGACCTATATCAATTATTTATTGATGACAATAAAAATGATTAGAAAAAAAAACTAAGGAATGTTTTATCTTACCAAGTAAAAGATCAGCAACAGCCATATTAGCAATAAGATAAAAGGACGGTGTATGAAGACGTTTATCAAGAAAAAGCGCTAAAAGTACGAGTGTATTACCACCAACTGTGGTTAATATAAGTATAACAAAACCAACGCATGCTGCTAAAGAAATTTCTGTATTTATTAATGACATACTATTTGTTGGCATTGTTGTTTGTTGAATAAGTGATTGTGAATATGCTGGTGTACTAAGTGAGTCACCAATCGTTCGTGTAACATTATAGCTAAGAATAACTTCAGGTACGTTATTTAAAATATCGGCAGACATTGTTACATTATAGATATTTTTTTTCAATAATCAATGAAATCTTATTATATTATCACCGTTGAATGGAAATGAAACATCATCTAGAAAAAAATTATTATGTTACTTTTTGTTCTGGTTTTCATTTAGGGAGTTACCTATTATAACAGAAAAGAAAAAAATGAAGAAGAGGAAAATGTGTAGACTTTAATTTGTTTTTTAATATCATTTACCTTGTTAAGTGGGTTCTTCTCTAGATAATATTCTTATAGAATAATAAAACTGGTTTGTATATTTTTTATTTATAATCAGTATACATATATAACAAAGCTTATCTCTCATAGTTTAATTTTCCTCGTTTTTTCTTCTTCTACTATATTCTGCCTGTCATCACAATAGTCGACATATAAAAATAAATAGACATTATTTTTTTCTTTCCAAAAGGATTATTATATTCTTTTCTTTTCTTCTTTTCTTTCCTATCGACCTAATTCATGTCTTGGAAAACTTATATAGAATATTATTGCAGATAAGTAGATATGACCCACAGTAGAAATCAAATATTAGCATCTTTGATAAAGAGAGCTTCTCTCTAGGCGTGACGAAGCCAAGCGAAAAGAAGCCAAAAAAAAAATCAAATGACACTTCTGCCATCCTGCTTGGTGGCAATTAGTAACATCTACTATTCTTATCAATAGAATATTTTTCTCTAATTTGTTTCGCTTGGTCTTATATTCTGTAGTCTTCATTTTATTTAGATCGATTATTCGCATGGGTAACTAATGATTAACTGAAGTTGAAATTAACAATAACTACGAACATAGTTTTCCTGTTTATCAAATAGCAATTATAATCAACCTATAGTTTTTAATAGGATTTTTTAAAATTATCTACACACATTTATTATATTTCATTTTTGTCTATTATACTCTCGATGTCAGAAGACTGTCAAAAATAATACCTGATTAGAAAAATTTTTCTAAATAACATACTTATGACAATTCAATTGTTGACGTTTCTTTTCTTTTCCGAAGTGTGATGAATTGAGAAATAAAAAAAAATGAGTAGTCTCGATTTAATCAAAAAGAAAACGTAATATTTTACGGATTCTATTTAATGAGTTGACGTAAAGATGCTTAAGTTGAATTCAGTTGCCTTGAAAAGGAACACATTAGAAGAATAAGAAAAATAGAAATAGCAGTAGTAATAGTTGAGGTAAAAATAAAAATAAGTTATATGATTGACATTAACAGCTAGTGAAAGATGAGTGAATATGAAAAAAAGAACGAACACGGCAAAAAAAAACAAATGTCGTGTGATCAGAAGAAGAGAGCAAGAACCAATTCAATCAATTGGTGGTGATAGGCACGAACACATCAGATCGTAAAACGATAAAACTAGTTACGATGAAAATGCGCCCTTTTGTAGTCTCTTTTTACCTTTTCTGATCGTAGATATGCCATTCTTTCCGGAAACCGGCTATATACTTCATGAAAACATAAGAATACAAAAAAGAGAAAACATAAAAAAAAACCTCAAGTAGATACTTCCATTCCATTCTTCCATAGAAATATGCATCCATCTACATGCACACACACGAAAATTGATACTATACTAAAGTGCTCTGCAACCATCTGTTATTACGTTTTTGTGAATCGTTAGAACGGTTTTCTTCGTTTCTAATGATCAGCTCACATTTCTGGTTTCATTTGTATTTATTAGCGAAATGAAACTAAATATTGATATTTTTTATCATCGAAGAAAGTTTTACTCTTTCTTCTTTTTTTTTAATGCTACGACTACACAATAGAATGATAAACTGCTTCTGATATGAAATAGAACCACAATATAAAAAAAAACAATTATTTGCGCCTATGATCAACTAAAAACTTCGTCGACGGAGAAAAAAAAACAATAAATTTCCTTTTTTATCAGTTTAATTGACAGATGGAGAACATTTCTGATGTGTATACATAAAAGAACTTCATATTTATTTAAGT